AGATTCCCTGAGAACAAATCATACAAGGTGCATGAACAGACAAAAAACTCAATATTAAAAAGTTTTAACAAGGTAAAAAAATATAAAAATGACTACCTCAAAGTAATTCCTAAAATGGTTTATTCTCATATTATCTGGTAAATACTTCTTATCGAATTTGTCTTTGATCCATTCACGATCACACCAATAAATATCACAATTTTCAACCTCACTAATTAATGCTCAAGTTTGACTACTAATAAACTTACTTTAAAACTTCCTGCCATCCGCGATTGCGCATTACATCCATGACAGTATTGCTAAGTGAGCATTTAAATTTTATAGAGGAACTAATAATAATCAAAAACAAAGTAAGTTTCACCTAGTAACTAAAGGCTTTTTAGTATGGATTCTAGATGAATAATTCTGTAAATTGTATTAAAATATTAAATTCAATACAGTTTTTATAGTTTTGGACATCCCGTCGCGATGGCCTCAAAAAAACATAATAAGCGCAAATCATTTATTAATTATATTTGTAAAAACAAATGAGTTAAATAATTTAAACTTGTATATTTTAGTTAACAATCTTATTTTTTAATTTCTGTTTTTTAATTTGTTTTTATGTTTGTTAATAGGGCTGTTTTGAGTTAAATACTGGAATCTGTGCTACGTATTTTCTTCGCCAGTTCTGATAGATTTTCATATTTATCTTTGGTAATGTTTATTAGATATGGATGGAGTAACTCTTGCACATGCTTTACTTTATCGAGATTCGGACTCGACGAAAAGATTGATGCTGGTATTGTTTATATTTTACTTTATTCAATAAATAGTCGTCAAACTACGATGATAGAAACTTCAACCAAGCCTATTTAGATAACTGTGAGTAGGTTTTATTAACTTATATGTTACGTTATTTTTCTATTTATAACATATGTACATATTAATAATCTATTGTATACTTATGGACGCACAAAAAATAATGGTCTATATAAAAAAGTTTTAGTTCCATTTTTATAATCGATAATGTAAGGCCAAATAATAATTAAAATTAGTAATTTTATTACAATTATTTAATGAATGTATTTTCTAGTTTGTCTCATTTGCTTATTAATTAACCTAGTGTTACTTGTTAAACTTCCTTAATATATCACTATCAAATTGTACTTTTTTGCTTTACTGAGTGTATCAAAGACAAAACTTATACATTAATATATCAAATCTAACATTTTTAATCATCGCTATTATTTTTTACTTGAAAATTTCTAAAATACATCCAATGGTTTGCTTATCTGGCCTTATTAAAGACATGATTACATTTAATTTTCTTGATTTGCATCGGTTTTGTTAAGATATTTAATTTATTTTATTTAAAATTGTTGTTGGGACTTTTATTTTGTATGAACGCGTAAGAAAAACATATTTGAAAGTCGATTTTACTGTAAAAGAACCGTTAAATCCCGTTGTACTGCCATCATTTGGCTTTTATACGACGTTAAAATTGACGCAGTCTACGATACATTCTCCCTCTTTTTAGATTAAAACGGTCTAAGCTTTCGTCTATCATATGATGGACATCATCATAGCTGGGATTCATTATTATTAAATTCTCAAGTTATCACAAAGACAAGAGCGCTACTCGGCTCTATTTTACCTCTTATATAGTCTCATTAAAGCAAATGGTTTTGTTAATCATCAATATTCTGGTCACCTATTTCTAGATGGCGGTTCAACACTTTCTTTCTACTTTAAATCTATCAATCAAGTATAAGTAGTTCCTACTTAACTTTCTACCACCGTTCTTGACATTCAACGTATTTCCTTCTTTTAACCGCAGACGTACCATAATCAGCAAACCGACTAGTTTGAGATTATTATATCTCATGGTCAGTTTCTAACATGTGTTCGGCTACTTTTAATCATTTAACCCAGCTTCCTTTACTTTCATTTTTGTGCTCCTCCAAGCTTTGTCGAATAAATTGATATGTCTCACCAACATAGCATCGACCACATAAACAAACAATCTTCTAGCAGCTGGATCTCAAAAATGGGTCATATTTCGCTTTAAAAGATGGTACAACAGAATAAAATGTGTGAGGGTTTCTTTAAACACTGTTTTCGCTTCGAATATTAAGGAGCTTTAGCGTTTAAGAAAGAACGTAATATTTATACCTCGTTATAATTATTTCATTAAATGAAATGACGCTTATTTTAGTTAACTTTATGGAAATGTTAATACTAATATTGATACTAATTATGCTACTTAAAGTGTCATCTATTTTCACGACTAAGTGCTTTCGACTACATCGCAAATTTAGCCATAATACTCTTCATGACTATTTTATTTTAACGATCACCTAATCTGATTTCATGTACACTTTTTTGTATGATGGTTTTTTAGCAACTATTTTTCTATTTAAGTATTTCCTGGTTTATGTGAGCACAACTTAAACTTCCTAAAATCTATTTAACCTTACATTGAACAATTTTAAAGATGTTTTTCTTTTATATATAGGCTTTCGAGATTACCATTATATGCACGAGCTTTATTCGCCCTATTTTTTAAGGTTATTAAAGACTGGTAGTTAAACTTTTACCACAAATCTATTAATAGGCCTTGCGGTCCTATTTAATTTCACATCTAACCTTGTTTCCCACGAGTTATTTTCATTCAGGCAGAAGTGGACTGCAGTTTCGAACTTGCATGGGTCTCATCAGTTTTCCCAACTGGACTCGAACCCTTGTTGTGTTGCACATAATCTCGACCCTTCTAAGGCTTAAGTCCTGCTTGGGGTGCGGGTGAGACCTACGTATGGTCAAAACTGTTGTCCATTCCTGCCTGGTTGATAATTTCCTTTGGGAAACGAGGCTATGAGACATTCAATGAGAACGTAAAGCCTATTTATATCTTCATAATTCATCATCTTTAACTAATTAAGATAAATACATCTGTATTAGGATGCCCAATTATATAAAGAATAATATTTACTTAAATATTTAGATATTGTTCTGTATAAATGAATTTATTGACTTAAACTTAATATTCTTAAACTGAATTCACTAACGTTGTATAAAAGATTGGTCTTGTTTTTGCAACTATATATAGTTGTCAGGGTAATCAAAATGAAAGATCCTTATCCGCATTTCTCTGTTAAAGTAAACTTGATTAATTATTGCGTTGAACAATGGTATCTGCACGCAATTTTGTTTTTTATAACTTTAGATAAAATAATTTAGTTATTTTACTGAAGATTACCATTTTTATGCACTTTATTTGCTCCTTTTTAACTGTCTTTATTTTTAAAAATTTAGTTTCCCCCGGACGAGGACTTTCGGAAAATCTGACGAAGGAAGAAGCTAACCATGTTATTATTATGAACAAATCTGTTGAACCTCCTGGAGTTTGCCATACATATATTCCGGCTACTGTGCAAGGGCATTATTTTAGTCAGAACAGTTATGATGTTCGCAAAAGCTTGAACCTCTCGCCTGATGATCCTTCGAGGCTTAGTACTTGTTTAACACAGACAAACCCGTTTCCTATCAATCAAAGATTGACTCAGGATGGTATAAATGGAAACCTATACATAGAACGAATGAGTAACCAAGAAGATCAACTCTTTCAGAGGGTTAACCCTACTATTAAAGTTAATACTGGAGCTCATATTAGCAATATGCCCTTAGGCTATGCTGCTGACAGTTTTCACGGAGTCGCACCCAATATCCCTGGTGTTATGTTGATGCAAAATTCTGGACCAGCTCTGGCTCACTCAACATTTCCATTAATGTCTTGTAGATTTCCCACAGCTCCCACTTCAACTAGTAAACCAATACATGCGGCACAAGAAATGGTTTATCAACAGCAGGAATACGTTGAGTCCAAATCTTCCACAACTTCATCAATAGGTTTGTCTTTATTGCAAGAAACCAATGCTGGAAAGAAATATGCTCTTAATATGAGCAGACAAGGTGCAAATAATAGCAATTTACCTGAGGCCAAAATATCACATAAGGCATCCTTATATCAGCAGAATATTCCTTTTAAAATTGGTAGCATGAATAGATTCTCGCATATGAATCTGAACTCTGGCACAAATTCAGGCCCGGAAAGAACATTGGCACCAACTTTTGGGTACGGTGATCCATGAATTGAGCTATGGAATTCTCTTTTTGACACTATTAAGATCATTTATTTTTTACTAAAATGCTTTAATATTTAGAGCATTTATACCTGAACGCAGTCAAGTAACGATTATCAGTCAATATATATATATGTTTTTTATCGATACTACTAACAGCAGTATAGATTGTCCTTATACATTCAAGGATTTCTT